TCTGTTTTTAAATTTGATGGGGGACCTCTTGGTTGTCTAACTGGTTCAACTGTTTGCGAAACTGGTGCCTGAGTTTTCTGTGCTTTTTGGGGTTGAACTTCCTTTCTTAATTTTTCTATCTCAGCATCATAATTAGATTTCTGTTTTGCTAATGCCTCATTAATCATTTTTTGTATATCAGGTGATTACGAAATTACTGGAGCTTCTATTATTTTAGGGTTATAGGAAGATTGTTGATAAACTTTACCTTCATTCAAATTTGGAGTACGTTCTAGCCACATATTTTTTAATTCAGTGAAAAATTCATTAATACCACCTGGATCAGCAATTTTCATCCATGTATAAAGCTCACCTGGTAATTGGTTTTTAAGAAATCCTAATACTTGTCTATCATTATTTGCTGTTCCTAATAATAGTGGCCGAATTCTAGTTTCATAAATATCCGGAGTATCATTTATTTGAAATTTTTCTTGAGTCAATTTTTGAATTGCAGATTGCTGACTTCCTACTGTTTCTCTTTGATATTTAGCATTTAAATATACTCGTAATGTAGCAGGTGTATTTATAGCAGGATTACCATGAGTAAAGGGATCATTAGCTGGTACTGGAGCAAACTTATCTCCTATTTTACTTTTTAAAATATCACATTTAACGGCATCATTAAAATCTCCAGCATTTGCATTTTCATCTGAGATACTGCAATAGACCATGCTTGTTCTAATGTATTTACATAATCATCAGGTGGCATTTGGCCTATATATTGTGGAATTGGCTGAAAAGATTGGTATATCAATTTTAATACTGGTCGTCGTCTACCTTCTGCCATATTTTGTGGGTTATTTTGTAACAATAAAATTTGTCCTTGCAAATTTAAAATTAATTGTTCTGCATTTCGAGTTCTATTTTTCCACTTTCCCCATTTAATATCAAGTTGTATATCACATAAGTGTAAATCATTTTTCAACGTATCTATTCTGATACGACATTGTTGTAATTCTAAAAAATACTGCTGGCATACAACTCTTTCATTATTATATGCAGTAGTTATTAAGTTGAGATCTCCTTGAGTTTGTGTTAACTTTGTTTGACGTATATCTCGTTCTGCTTCTGCATTATATCTTCGTTGTTGCTCATTTATAAGATCTGTTTGAAGATTGTTGTATTTGCGACGTATCTGTCTTGTAACTCTTTTTATTTGATTGGATAAAATTGTTCTATTTGTTCCAAATAACCATCAATAGTATCAGCTAACTCAACTATTGTTGCCATATCTGGGTCAGATGTATAACTATCTTGAGAATTTTCATCTGATTCATATTCATTTTCTATATTCCATATCTGAGTATTTTGTAAAGTTTCTTGAGTATTTATAAGTTCTACTCTATCTCGGTATCTTAATAATGTTAATGCAAAGTTTTGACAATGTAAATCTGTAATACGAGTTTTTTTCTGAGCTAATTTATTGTCTCGATTCTAAGATTATATTTTAAAGTATCGATTTCACGTTTGAGACATCTATTAACGTTACCGTTTGATTGTATGCTTTAGGAGTATTACCTGCAGATTTTGATATTTCTCGAATTCGGGTTTTGAGTTTCTTCTCCCTTACATCAAATTCAGCTAATTGATTTTCCCTGGTAATTGTTCCTTATCTTTTTGTTCGATCTCCTTTTTAAGATGATAGACGATTTCTTTTAGATCTGATATCTCTTTTTCTAATTCCTCCCTTTCTTGTATAGAAAGTTCGATTGTATTTGCTAACTCCCCCTCGAGATATCGGATTCTTTCTTCACGTAAAACTATATCCCGTTCAAGATTGTATGTTCGGCGTTCATAGTCTCTGTTTGATTGAGCCAATCGATTGATTTCATCATGAAGTTCTTGATTAGCTTGGCGTAATTCATCCATGTTTTTTATTCACTATAATAATAAAAGTTATGATTGAAGAAACAAAGTTTCGAATCTCTGATTCACCTGTAATTTATATTGACTCACAAAGAGCTCATGATCTTGATCGTGAAATTGCTTTACAGAAATTATATTACAGACCTGAAGGGTACTATCGAACTGTTGAAAAAATGCATAATGCATCGCGTATAGCTGGTTATAAATTTTCGTTAACAAATATTAAAAACTGGTTAAATAAACAGATAACTTTTTTGGTTCATAAACCTCGACCAAAATTTATTCAGTATGCTTCTTTTAATAATATACAGAGGTTAAATGAAATGCATCAATCTGATCTTACTCCTATGCCTCATGATAAAATTGGTAATCGAGTTTTTAAATATAGGCTTGTAATAAAAGATGTCGCTACAAGATATCGTAAAAGCTGTGCATTAACTAATAAATCCGCTTCTACTGTTGCAAAAGCAATTAAAAAAATTTATGAGGATCCTAATAATCCTCTTTCTTGGCCTAATGTTTTTAGAACTGATAAAGGTACCGAGTATTTAGCTGAGTGTAAAGATTTATTATTAAGCCATGGCGTATATTTCGATCCCAAAAAATCCAAAGAAAGCAATGCTATAGCGGAGCGCAATCATCAAGAATTTGAAAGACATGCTTTCATTCGTCAAGATGCCGTAGATTTTCATTTACCTTTGTCTGATAGGTCTAGAGCATGGGTTAAAGGTCTTCGTATTAATGATGATATTTATAATGATACTCTCACTCGATTAATTCATGTGTCACCTAATGAAGCTGTAAAGAGGGCATTAAAAGGTGAAAAAATAATTGCTGATCCATCTGTAAAACATCGAAGACCTATTGGGTTTAATGAATCTCGATTAAGCTATAAAGATTCTGTTTTATATTTACTCGAACCTGGAGAATTAGAATTTGGCAAGAGACGCATAACTGATATGAATTGGTCTTCCAGAGTTTATCGTATTAAGGAATCACTAATACAAAAAAATCAACCGGTATTATACTGGCTTATGGATGAAAATGGGGATGGTCCTGAAAGATCATTCGTGAGAGAACAATTATTATTAGTAAATAACAATATAGACTATCCCCCGAAATGGATTTTACGAGATTAGTATTAATTATTCATCTTTTAATATATCTTCAGTTGCTTCATCAATTTCTGCCTCTGTCATAGGTCGCTCTCTTTTGGTAACTCATAATAAAGATTATATAGATTTTCTATTGTTATTAGAAGTTCTTTTTTATTATGAAATCAATTTCTATATCTTGACATTCTTTTATTGTATGCCTCTTCATTTGGAAAAAGTGTTATTGCGGTATATTTTATATACTCATCTTTGTTTTCAGAATTACGTAAATTTTTTACATAGGAAGCATATTCACTAATAAGCTTACTATCTTTTCTATACCGAAGACGAAATGCCTCTTATTATTTTGATTTGTGCTAATTCAATCATTCTCCATGTAATCTCCTGTGTTAATAACTCAGAGTTCTGCTCTTTTAAGCTTGAATTAGTATCTGTCATACTTGGTTTATATATATTTTGTAATTTGTTTTATTTAGTATAAGTTTTATTTAATACGAGTTTTATTATTTAATAAAAAATTATCATTTCTTGTGAACCAGCTACCGATTGAAATATCCCCTAAATGAGTTTTACATCTATTAACATAAACTAGAGTTCATCAAATATCTTGATCAACTTCTATATTATTTACCGGAAAGTGGTCTACTACTGTAGGTTGCTCTTTTTTATTAATCTCAATTTTCGGATATTTGCTCACTAATTGATTTATTATTTTATCTGTTATTTGTTCGCAATTTTGTATTTCTATAGTTCTTATACTTGTATATTTTTCTGGTATACTTAAGACAGTTTTTGGTGCTATTCGATTACTTCCATAGATAAATATATGGTTTAAATTCTTGCACGTATCCAATGTTATCTTTAGTAAACTATTGTTAAGAAATCCCTAATTAAATGATATAGTTATTATATTTTTGCATATACTTACAATGTTTTCTAATTGAAATTCATTCATATTAAAATAATTATTTATTCTTTCAAATTCTATCTGTTTTATATATTTTATTGCATTTAGTAATGGTTTCTTTTTTATTAATTTGACAAAATTTCTAATATTATATCTATATAATGTAATTCTTCTCCATATTAAATACGTTGCACATTCATTCTATCATTTGTTAACATATAAAACTAGGAACAATAATTCATTATTACCACACTGCAAAGTAGGATACTTCATGTCTAATCTATCATTTTGTGTTTGTAAATATTGAAATATTTTTATTATAATTTCATTTGGAAGATTTATATCAGACTTTTTTGATAGTTTCCTTTTTATTGTCTGTGAAGCAGGATATTCTGTATCTAACTTTGTATTCTGCTCTTTATCTTGTTATATTTTCTCAAAATCTGGTAAACTATTTGTAATCAAATTTGGGATTTTGGAATAAGATGGTTTCTATGTAACTGTTATACAATTTTTTACTACACAAACTTCTCTTTTCTCAAATTTTAGCTCACCCATTTCTATTCCTGTTTTAAGTTTTACTTTTTCAGCTATAATAAATCCATCTGTATGTATACACTTTACTTAATCTCCTAGTGGTTTCACAATTTCTGATATTCTTTTTTGTGTTAATGCTAATAAGAATAGTTTTATTTGTGAATATATTTCATAATTTTGACCATTTCTTTGCTCATATAGGATATTCCATAATGAAACTAATAATGCTTTGCTTACTTTTTCAGCTATTCCTCCTTCTTTCTTAATATTATATAATATATTACTTCATTCACCAAACATGTCTTTTTCTGTTATATGTTCATTTCTTTTATAAATAAGTGTATTTGGTGATATATTTATTAATATTGCATATTCTAAATCATAATATGTATAAATCTTATGTAAATTATAGGCAAATATCTTGTGCATTAAAGACTTTTTTTTTGATGGATTTCCTTCTATTATTGCTTTATAAATTCCATATGGAAATTTACTTCATTTTTCTGTAAAAGATAAGTTTATAGTATAAAACTTACCTGATGCAATTGGCCATGATACTTCTTTCTTTAATATTTCATATATATACATCAAATTTACATCATATTGAATAGCTTCTTCTTCATATTTTTTTGCAAATACTAAAATTCCAATTGATGCTAAATTTAACCATGCATTTTCTTTTTCATCTATTTTTTCACTTCTTTTTGATACTAATGTAGTTTCTCTAAAAAGTTTTAAACTTGTTAATGTATAACCTCCTGATTTTTGTATATTGACTTATCCATTTGTTTTTTTTGCTATGGCTTCTGATTCTTTGATAATTCTTTTATAGTTTTTATGGTTATTTCTTTTAAATCTGTTTTAATAAAATAATACTTATTAGATAATGCATAAAAATCTTCTTTAACATCATATCATTTTCTTTTTTTATCATAAAACTCAAATCTATTTGGTATATTTTTATAGTTTTATTATGAAGTAATGAAACTCTGCCTCTATCTTGATAGCTTATGCTATTTTATTTTAAACTAGATCCTATTTTGGTATTGACTGCTGGCATACTTGCCTCTCTCAGCTAGATTAGCTGGTATGTCAGTAAATTTTTGTCAAATGATATGAGATTATCTTCCAGGATTGATACTAAATTTTCTACTGAGGCTTGGTTTTGCATCTGAATCAGATTTTCAGCTGGTGATATATTTTGTGTTGGAGTTAGATTTTTAGCCAGATTTTGAGTAGCTAGATTTTTTACTGGAGCTGAAACTGAATTTTGCATTAAATGCAAAGCTAGTTGACATTATTTCTTATGAAAATTTCTATTTAAATTCATGTGTTTATTAAGATCTTGAGTTTTACCAATTCTTATTTCTCAATTACATTCTGGATATCTGAGTATCTTTGCCATAATGATATATAATCTGTATTTTTTATTAATATAACCAGATCTTTTATTTAAATTAAAATAATTAATTCAGTTATATAAATTTATTGAAATACAAGATGAATATATATGCACAACTCTGGAGAAGTCTGTGATTATGAATGTTGATGTCCTGAAGAATGTCATGAATATTAGAGAGTAAAAAAACATGTTTTATGTAATGATTGTGGAAAGTTTATAGCTTTCATCTGTGGATATTGCAAAAAATATGCTAAAGATTATTATGTTTTACAGTTCTATGCTCAGTAACTAGAGTAAAGCTTATTTAAACCTGTATAAAAAAATACTTTTGTGTATTTAAAAAAATCTAGCTGAAGGCTTTCTATATTTTTACTATAGTCCATTGTGAAAATTTTAATATATTAAATAAATATTAATAAATTATTTTTTCAAGATAAAATTTTTAATTCTGTTTTATTCAATTAAGTTATTAGGTATTGGGATTTATTTAAATATAAAAATTTTGATTATATATCTTTAATAAAAAAAATTTTTACTAATAATAACTTTTTTTAATTATTATATCTTAAATTTTACTATATAAAATTTGATTAAAATTA